GAATATTTAGTGCTTGATATTACTGAAAATGAAATAATATAGAAGATTGATATGATAATATGTTTGACATATTTAGATTTACCTTGGATGTGGTTTTTTTTGCCTTGGTAAAATTAGCACCCTGTAAATATTTAGAGATTATCCTTATAGATCGACATTGCTTTCAATGTGGTTGTAAGGACTAATTTATCTATATAGATTCGTAATTAACTATATATAGACATCATTCAACCAATTAGATCTTTCAACTATCCTAATAAAGAGTGGGAGACTCAAACTCGTAATATAAAGTTTTTAGGAAAATGGGGGAGAGAGAGAAATGGAAAAGTAAATTTTTTATTTTATTCTGTAGAAAATTGCATAGTCAGTCAATTTAATCACAAAAGTTTTTACAAATATGTACAATCAGACTATCCTTTTCAAGACTTTAATTTCTCTTGAAAGGAAAAAGAATGATGATATCATAAACAATTTTGACCAAATTTTTTATTTATGAGAAGTCGATATATGGACAGTAGTGATAAGATATTAATGATTATTATTTCTGTTATTGATTTGACATAAATTCAAAGGTAGAGGAAATGTGAGTAATGAATACAAAGGAAGTTACAAAGTAATTCCAAAGCTAGTAATTTGCATGAATATAATTGTTGAGTTATTTTTTAATTTTTTTATTCTCCTTAATTCAAGCGCACAAGTTTGAAACAACTTTCTTGTAGAATTACAGGTTGAAAATTGATTTTATAGGAGAGTGGCATTGGGATTATTCAAATAGTAAAACTAATATATCATTCATTTTAGATTTCATTAAGTGAACTTGGCTTGATTTTAAATAACATATATGGCTTGGTGTAGACACCTGATTGTGTCTCCCCAAAAACCAAACCAAGTGATGAGTACGTTTCACGTTTTGATTGACGAATTCGGTAAATAGTTGAAGAGTCTCGTGAAGTTTTCTTAAGCCTTGACCATATTCCCCCTTTACTTAAATGTTTTATTCCAAAATCATTCATTTCGTGTCTTTAAACCCAAAATCATTCATTTCGTATCCAAGTCATTAAAACGTCCAAATCAGACTATTTTGGTCCATATTAACGGTAAAATTATTACTTAGATGGATGGGGTTTGAAAAGAGCTTTTCAACGATATATTATAAGCCCAGATCCAACTTAAAACGAATAAGTTATGGCCAAAATACTAAACCAAGCCCAAACCAAGCCTCGATCCACCTTACCTACGACCCAATGATTATATGAGGGTCCAAACTTTTTCCTAATCAGTTAGGAACTTCTAGAACCCTCTAGAAGGTTCTAATCTATTCTTCCCGAAAAGATAAAGATCAAAAAGTTTCATATGATAATCTTTATCCTGTTTGAATTCAAAGACGTTCGAATGTATTTCACGATCATTATTCCATAAAATATCAAATTTCGTACAAATTAGATTATTCTTTAAAACTAGCGCACAACGCCAGGACCAACGCACCGCAATGGTCCCAACACACGACGACAAAGCCAGCGTGACATGTGTTAGTTTTACTTCCATTCAAATTTTGATCTTTTTTCTGATCGTCCAGACTCTCTTTTTTTCTTATAAATAGAGTTCATTTTCCCCGCTTTTAAATCAGTTAGAACCATCAATCATAAGCATTAACCACCTAGCTCCAATTATCATCAACAACCTTATCAAACACCTATCATCAATCCTTATCTATCATCCATGTTCTTAGCCTTAGCCTAAACACATCCTTGATACCCTCCCAAATCAATCACAATACCTCATTCACGATATTCGAATACTCTAATCCATACTCGACGTTGCTTTCGACCTCGCTGTGAAAGGTTGATAGTTCTGAGGGTTTGGTCCCAAATCTATATTTCAATTCATATTTGATTTATTTGCTTTATTGATTTAACTTTCTTGAATCTTAATAACGTGTGTATTAATTTAATAGCAAGAAGGTTGAGTGAGGCATCAAAGTGAGTAATTCGATTACTTAATTCTTTTAATTTTAGAGTAGAAATCATTCTTATAATGTTATATTAATTCCTAGTATCATGTTTAGGATGTTGTTATGATTTCTATGTTTAGAATAATGCTTTGATTTGATTATTAGTGACATGCTAGGATTTGTTATTAATCCGTTTAGTATCATGCCTAGGATCTCACTACTAACGATGCTTTGATAATATTTTATGATGATGATTGTTGTGATACATGCCTAATAAGATAATTTATAATTTGATTTAGGCTAATTTGACTTTAATTTAAGTGATCGCCAATAATAGATTTGATTGTGCATTAATAATCAACCAACATTGATTAAACAGGTTTAGGATTAATTTAATGTATGTATGTTGATCGAAAAGCGCACACGAATATCATAAGAATTAAGTAGAGGCCTATTTAGGGCGAGTTCAATCTCTTTTAGGTTGGATTCGTACCATCATCCCCAAACATCCAGTCATGGTTACAGACCATTATGGAGTTATCTCTGTGATCGTGAATGGGGTGTAACCTTCACCTCCGTGAACGGTTTAAAAGTTCCTAAAACTTATTGGCGACTCTTTTTCTCTAGCTTCTTTTCCTTAGAACGCCGCCATGCCTAAAAGCATGAACCATAGTAGGGCTCGAATTGAAAAATTCTTATAGTTTTTGGCGACTCAACTGGGGAGGATTTCTAAATTAATTCCTGAATTCGTTTAGCAATTGATTTAGAATGAGTGGATGAGACTTGAAAGATTATTCTAGATATTCATGTGCGTAATTTTGATTAACATTGTGGTATAAGCATAAAAAGGTTCACATTGGAAAGACCATCCGTAATGCGTCAAAAACATAAGACTTACACGTAGGAAAGGCCGAAAATATTTTTCACAACTAAAATCGAAAAAACATTACGAAAAATTGGAAAAAAACATCGAAAATAGAAACTGCTACAAAGCATCAGAACCATCGCGAGGCATCAGTTACCAACGCCGCGCGACAGCACTGTCGCATCGCGACAATGCTGTTGCCGAACGTTGGACCTGCCTTCCAGCGATACGATCTGGCGATTCTGCGCCAAAATTCTGTCTTCGTCCTTCGCCTGATTCTAGTACTGTCTTGACGATTTTACCTCCTAATTAAGTTTTTTCGACCTTTCTGAACGCATATGTGTTTTACTTATGGTTTTAGCCCTTGAGAATTCACGCTCCGTCCACCCTAATAAAAGCTCCGTGCAATAATGGGTGCATCTGAGCTTGTTGAATTCACCAAAGTATGGAGTTGAGTTTAACTCACGGGGTCCCGTTCATCATGCCAACCCTTCTAAGGTAAGGCTCCGCGCGATGCATCCAGACTCTTAACCATAGACCCTCTTGAACACCATAATCCTTGACCTTAGAGAACTAGAGCCATGGTTTGGTGGCAAACTCATTGCATCATGTAGTGACTACTTGTGCATATCTTACTTGTGCATACCTTGTTTATGATTAAACTAACCCTTTGATTGTGGTTAAACTAACCCTTCGTGTTGACTTGTTTCTTGTACATATGTCTATACATACTAACTCAAAGGACTTTGCTTAATTAATTTGGTTATAAATATGAATCCATAAATTATGAATATGCTCGAACCTTGAAGACTTTAGGCTTAAACCTTCGAAAGAATTATTGAAAACAGATCGTCATAATACTCCAATACTGGTGTATTACTTCAACTCTGTGGCGTAGAACGAGGGCAACCAACGCATCGTGACAGGGTTTTCGTGCCGCGTTGGACCCATCGTACCGCGATAGTACCATCGTTGCGCGATGGTTCGGTTTTTTCTTTCCGAGTCTTCACATCGAGTCCCGCTATCACGATTAACTTGTTTAATGACAGCATTTGGTCTTTTCTTGGTCTCGTTCGAGTCAAACCACATGTCTGGTCACATGGTCATGACACGAGTCTTGTAAATATCACTTCCACTCACGAGTCTTTGCACACACTTTGTACATACTTTCTTCACACCATGGCCATGTCTTAGGTCCATGCATGAGTATCTTTTCCGTCATTCGAGTTGAGGGTCCTTCTCATTCCCGGAAATTACCATATTCTTCCACAAATACACCCTTCCTTCTATTGTTATATATTAACTTATTATTATTGTTATAATTATTGTTCTTGTCACTATTATTATTGTTCTTATTATTATTGTTGTTGTTATTATTATTATTATTATTATTATTATTGTTATTGTTATTGTTATTATTATTTGTATTATTATTATTGTTGTTGTTTTTATAATTGTTATTGTTATTATTATTTGTATTATTATTATTGTTGTTATTATTATTATTGTTATTATTATTAATCATGACATCAAACCCGAACCCTTCCTCCTCCTCTAGGAAAGCCAAGTCAAAACGTACTAGTACTAGTAGGGAATTACCAAATTCAAACACTTCAATGCCCTCCCCTAACATGCCCATTCCGAACACTTCCACCCCCTTCTTTCATCCCCAAACCATGGAAGGATTCTAACAATTTGACAATATGACTCCTTGGACTATGTCTAGTTTGGGATTTCAACAAAACCAATTCTCACCTCATTTATACAGCTCACAACATGAATTTTCTTATCCTACTAGTTAAGGTAGCCAAACACATGCCGCCCGGTCGAGTGAACAATCCACCCAAATGCCAAACACCCAAATTCCAAACACATTAGAATGGTGTACCGAAGAGGAACAAGCCGCTACCAACCGAAAGAGTTATGTTTGGGCACATTTCACTAGTAGAAAAAAGTAAATGGCAAGCGGTTCAAAACCCTAATGGGAAGCGGTTTTTGATCCGCTCGCGATTAGGGGGCTTCCCATTGCCACTTTAAATGGGAAGCGGTTCAAACCGCTTCCCATTTGTAGGGAATGGGAAGCGGTTTAATGCCTGAACCGCTCCCTATTATGGCTTTAAAAAATAAAAAAAATAAAACAAATTATTTTTTCACAGAAATTGATACATAAAAATAAAACATATGTATAAAAATATATATTTCCATTAATAATTAGTTGTAATATTACATTATAATTCAACACCAAAAAAAATACAACTAAAGTCAACACCACCCTATTCTGCCACCACCGCAATCGATGCCACCAGCCCACCACCACAACCGACGCCACCAGCCCACCACCGCAACCGACGCCACCTCGCATCTGGAACATTAAAAAAAATAGCTCAAAAAAATTACTCATGAAAATAGAATATGAAATTTGAAATAACATAAACATAGATTTAAACACACAAAACCAGATCTAAAAACATAAATCCCATTCAGAAATTCATATAGAACATGTAATTTGGAAAAACATAAAAGTAGATCTAAATTCTTACCTAAAAACTACAACTCCATGGTCGAATAATAAAATAAATCCATCCACCAAACACCACCACCCATACGCACCACCACCTTCGAATAATCTCGGGTTTTTTATTCGTTTTTTTGCTCGAAAATGAGGGGTTTTTGATTCGTTTTTTTGCTCGAAAATGGCGGTGATAAGCTTGAGAGAGGAGAGGATGAAAATAAGGGGAGGCTTGAGAGAGGAGATCAGGAGAGTAAGAAATGGAGGGAGGATAGAGAAGATATAGGGAGAAAGAGGCATGAGAATTCTGAGAGAGGAGAGAGGAGGAGAAAAGAGGCGTGAGGCTGAGGGGTAGTTTGTTTGTTAGGGTTTTTTTTTTAAAGAATGGAAACCGCTTCCCATTACAATTTTGGAAGCGGTTCACCCTAAACCGCTCCTCATTTGCTTGTTTCAGTTTTTTTTTTTTTTTCTTGGGTGTTTTTGGAAGCGGAATTTCAATAACCGCTCCCCATTTGAGGCTTCCCATTTACTTTTTTCTACTAGTGTTTTCAATTAAGTAGAGATGGAACCAAAGCCAAGTGTAAGACATGTAAGAAAATTTACTCGGCCGAAACCAAGGGAGGGACGGGACACCTTACTGGACATGTAAAAAAATGTGGTGAACCATCTAGTGATCCAACCCAACCAAAAATTTCTCAATTCCATCCACATGGCTACATTTACAATTATCAGAGAGATAGGGATGAGTTTGGGAGAATGTTAGTACATGCCAAACAACCCTTTCTTTTTGTCGAAAATGATCCCTTTAACAATTACATTAACCGAGTACTACAACCCCAACACAAAAAAATCTCTAGAAAAACTGTCCGTTCGGTTGCCATGAAATATTTTCAAGAGTATAAATTGAAGTTATATGATGAGTTGAGTAATCTTACTTGTAGAGTTTCTTTGACCGCTGATGCATAGGATAGTGGTTACGGATATCACTATTTGTGTGTGACTTTTCATTGGTTGGATAGTGATTGGTTATTACAAAAACGCATTATCTATTTTAAAATGCTTGAATACCCCCACACCGGTCTTAATATTTCTCATCATTTAATGCAAGCTATTGATGCATATAATCTTAGGCCCAAAATCATGTCTATGACTTTTGATAATGCAACTTCTATGACATTTAGTACAAATTTAGTTAAAGCACAATTGACCGATGTAATATTAGATGCATTTGTCATGTTCTAAACTTGTGTGTGAAGGATGGGGCCCAAGCAATTGGTCCATTTTATCACAAAATTAGAAATGCTATTATGTTTATTAACAACTCTAACATGAGATTTCAGAAATGGAAAGCTTTTTGCAGGCAACAAAGGATAAAGGGTATTAAAATCAAAACGGATTGTGCAACTAGGTGGAACTCCACCTATGAAATGTTGAGTATGGCAATCGAGTATAAGGGTCTATTAACAATTTTTTATAATAAAAATTTCCACAATTTGCTTATTAGATGATGATTGGTCTAACTGTGAAAAATATATACAGTTTTTACAATTATTATATAGTATGAAACATTGTTTTTCTTCTGTTTATAATCCTTGTGCTCATCTATTTCTTAGCAATGCATGTTTACTGGCACAACTTTTTGGTGAACACCGATCACAACACAATTATGATAGATATCTTCCATCAATGGAGGAAAAATGGCGTAAATATTGCACTACTCTTCCTATGATTTATACTTTTGCTTTTATATTAGATCCAAGGCAAAAGTATGATGACACATTTTCATTAATTGATATTTATTTTCAATACATGAAATTTGAAGATGATGTTGAATCTTATAAAACTAATGTGACCAATCAATTGTTTGCCTTATATAGAAATTATGAATCTAAATATGGAACCGTGTCTCAATTTGCTCCTTCTCAATCATCCACAAATGTAAGTAAAATGGCCAAAGGTTTATTTGCACAAGCTGCACATAGGGAGTATTAAATTAGTGAACTACTACACTTATCACCATTTATATTTAGTATGAAAGAAACTCTTTTGGGCTTATTTGTGCTCGGTCTAGTAAAGCTTATCATCAACGAACATATCGGTCCGTTTATCAATATCCAAAAGGTATGGGGCCAATGATTTGAAGAATGCAAGACGTTAAGGATTTGAAGATATGTATGAAACAAGTAACCCAATAGAATTGTGAAATTCCAAGTAGGGCTCATTTCACATTTGGCCTTATGTTGGAAGTCTAGAGCAGGATCCAACAAGGAAGTTTGTAACCAATAAGATGTGACACATGTGAGAGGCGGTATAGGAATGATAATTAAAATGTAAGGAGTTGTCCCTTGAAAAAATAAAGAGAATTATTATTACTTCATGTATAAGAGGTGGACTAGTCCACCAACCCATTGTTTTTCGATGTGACTTATCTAAGTTTATACATAGTCGGTTACTTATTCGGCATGGTGTTAATGCTCGGCCTAGCAAAGTTTATCAAAACATAACAACTCAAGACACTGTTGCTTAATTCATGCACTATTTTGCGCTCTCTATCTCTCTTTTTTTTTTTTTTTTTTTTTTTTACAAGACATGTGAAGTAAATTAAAATAGCTCCTACTTCGTGAAATGAAGGCAAAGAAACTCTCTTTTTCGGTGGAATTTTTGGCAAAATGACTAATTCGGTTACTTCATCACTCTAAGAGAGTCTCCAACCTTTCACTTTCACTCAACTCCTTTTTTAAGCAAGAAGTATAATGTTCAAAGTCAATAAGAAAATGAATTCTCAATCTTAATTTTCTTACTCAGAAAATGCGTCAACTTATATAGTTGTACTTTTGCATTAGTCAACAATCTATCTATAAAGTACTAAACATAAAGTACGTAGTATAATTTAGTCCTAGACTTCAGAGTTTTAGGCAAAATTAGGGCGCAAACATATGAACCTTGTGGATGTTTACATACACAAAGGCAGCTTAAATAACAAATAACGGTTAATTGGTATCTTATAAGAGGTACCACTTTACTCCAAAAGGGGTAAATCATTCCCCCTCTGTCCCGTACTAGCTGAATTTAACGCAACGTCTTATCGACTTGGAAGCTCAAAAAAACATTCTTCCCCAAAATGAAGAGATGCTAAAAATAGAAAGTAATAGAGATGATCTCTGGCCGAAGTTTGCATTGGGATATAAAGTTTCTACGGAGCTGTGACATTTCTTTGTTCATAATCTCTTTCAAAGAATCTACAATGAGAACCATTTTTGTGTAAAAAAAGAGATATACTGTACATACCAGATAATGCATTCAGCAATCAAGGGAAAAGAAAAACAAAAATTCCCCTCAAAACACAAGGAAAGGATTCTTGAGAGAAGAGCAAACCTTACATCAACAATCTACAACAGAAAATAAGCTAGCTATACACCAAAAATTTCATAATACAAATTACCGGTCACTGGAAAGACTATGAGGACAAACGTAATGCCATTTCTTGTAAAAGAGCTCGCTTTTGTGCAGCATTGATAACATGACTGGATTCGGCATTTTCCAATACATCTGTAAGTATCGAAGCAGCATGACCAAGGGGTTCTTCACCTGCCCTCTTCAACATGAACGCCTGCAAAATTATATTAAGCACATACAGGTTAAAAAATTGTCTTAGCATAGCAGTAAAACTCAGTGAAGGGACTCCCATGAAAGCCAAACAATAGTCTTGCTGAAAGCAATCACATAACAATATATCATATTACGCAACGAAAACTGGTCATGTAAGAAAATAGTAAAAAAAAAAAAAAAAAGAAGAGAATGCCCTTTAAGCCGAAAACAATATTTGGAACAAGAGAGTGACGGAAGCAGTTACACAAGAGGTAAGAGAAGTAACCTAAGTAAAACAGGAAACCAGATGTAAAAGGAGAGTTCAGTTGAGAAGGTATCAATTTCTAGAAGTGGCAATATTTCTTCTCTGATATATCAGCTATTACACTTCCTTTTTCTAATACTTTTCCCCATAAGCAAGGGTTGACAGGAGTTACCTTCTTGTTCCTATTTTCTTTCTTTCAAAATGAAAGAGAAAAAACATATCTTCTTAACATTAGACAGAAGATTTTGGTGCCTTTTCAGTGTACAGCTGTTCCCCCCCCCCCCCCCCCCCCCACACACACACCCTTTTTTTCCCTATGCGTATCTTAAGATTCTTAATTAAAGCAAGAAATCAACAACCAAACCATTATAGCATCATTAAAAAAAAAAAACAAAAAAAAAAAACAAACAAACAAATAACTGTCGTTTAACTAGGCTCAGATATTGCAAAACATCAGGTACATTTAGATCTGTTTAAATTTTCAAACCTTTCATAACATGGGCCAATATATCTTTCCTGATAGCACACCATCAGTTCAGTCTTGCAAGGACTACACTCAGTCATTTAAAAGTCTCTATTTTCCAAAAATTGAACCCCCATTATATCAATCATTACTCTTTAATCCCAACAAGGGTCTTTGCCGAAGCTTGACAACAGGAAAGTCGGACCCTTAGATCAATTACTTCTCCTACTTTAATAAAGTAGGACCTTAGTCTTCTATGTAATAAAGGTCACAAATCTCACATTCTGAACAAACCAGGTCTTCAAAGATTCAAGCAACCTGAATACTTAAAAGAAACTTTAGCAAGGACTTCCAATAAAGTTCACCACCAAGGTCACAAATTACCCAAATAAAAGAATGTTCAGAAGGACAACAAATTTACTAAGAGCATCTGCAAGAAGTACATGCTTTGCATGCAATCACAAATGCACAATAGAGTAAATCGGGGGTTGGGTCGAGGCTACCCAAACACATAGAAAAGGGGTTACCTGGCCATGATGAGAGATTTGTAATGTACAAGGTTGCTGAAACCATGGCTCCCCATCAATCTGCACAGGCAATGCAGCAAATAACTGGATCTTGATGGTTTGCCCTTGTGCAAGCCTCTGCGCTCGGGACAGCCCTACCTGCACCCCAATTGTTTAAACACTTTTTTATATTATTAAAGCTATTAATAAGACCAATCCAAAGTAACATGCAAAAATTTCAAGTCATTCATAGAATTACTATAAAGGAAAATCAATAAAGTTCGAAATTATTAGAATTCACCAGATACTGCAAGACAAACTCTAAGAAGATAATTAGACAAAATCAATACTTTTATCTATGTTGAAATAGATAAAAGAGCCAACATAAGACAAATGAAAGGAACCTTATATTTGGAAAAGAATGGGGGGAAAAAAAAAAAAATCAATGCCTACTGAATTGCGGAGGGGAAATTTCTCAACCAGTGGACCAGAAATTCTTGCAATTAAGCATCATTTGCTAAAGCAAAGATAAAAAAAAAAATGGTAAGCTGATATGGAGAAAATACGCATGAATAGCACAAATCTGTTGTTTTTGGTGTTCAAAGCAACTTGTTGCCTGACTGGGAAATCACTACTATCTGATTAGTTCTCTGAAATTAGAGACAGAATATCTAAATCTCCTATCATATCTATCCCTTCTGAGACTTCTACATACAGCAGAAGAGATTAGAGACATAAATCCTCATGGTGTAAAAAATTGAACATCAAACCAAGAAAAATATGACCCAGGAAGCAGGCATGCGGTGGACAATTCCCTTTTCTTAATTCTTCTCATTTACAAATCAGTATATCACAGGAAAGAGCGGCATCAAACTGAAAGACAACAATGCAATATGAAAGAAAATGCCACTTTACCTGAAGCTTTCCCAAATGCCATGTCCCTGATATGCTCACAACTTCCAAAACCTTATCATGCATTGATTGAGGATCAAATTTTCCAAAGTTTTCATCCTCATTATGCCACAAGTCCACACCTCCCATGTAACTTCCAATGTTTGCTACAAGAACACCTTCTGCGTCCTAGAAACAGCAATGTATTAATGCATGAACATATGTAGACTTGTAGAGGCAATCAAAGCGTTAAAAAGAGATCTGACAATATAGTGGAAAAATTCACAAAGGATACCAGATAATAATTTAAGTAACTTCCAGAATACGAGAAGTTTACAAATAAATTAATTAAATCAATAATAAAAGGAAAATAAATCTGGTCAAGTAATATATGGACCGACATCTGCCAATTTAAAATTCCAGCTGACTTCAAGTAAAATGAAGCAGAGCCACGCAGACAAATTATTTCCAGATACTACTACTGTGGAGAGTGGAACTGTAATGGACCAGATTTCTCTACCCGAAATTAAGCACAAATAACAGTAATTTAAGGCTGAAAGCTTGAATGTTTGATTGCTAATGGTTGGACGATTACAAGGGGTAGTAGCTTGAGGCTACAAATCTCCTAGCAACTTGAGGTTGCAACTCTCTAAAGTTTCCTCACTTAATTTTTCCTTTTCCCTCCTTTCCCCTCTTACCTAATAATACTAAACTTCCCAAAATGCCCCTCCTAAAGCTAGTATATTACAGGAACATGTACTCTCAAAAAATGATAGGGTAGGCCAAGTGGCCCCATAAAATATAAGAAGTGCAGTTGGGAAGTCTCCTACCAAAATTTTAGCACTCAATTTGTAATGTAGTAGTAACTAAATCTCAGTAATAATGTAATGTTGTAAAGCTTTTGTTAATACTTCCGCATGGTCCTGAAACTCCAATGATCACCATATGCAGTCTAGCTAGAGTCATTCTAAAATATGGAAAAATGCGGACAAAATATATGTAGTTGCAAAACCAAAACCAACAGTGTCCAATCAAAGCACTAATGATCCCCTTAGACCCTGTGAGAAGACCAGGAACATAAAGGAAGCCAATGAGGGATAAGATACCCAATTCCTATAATGATAGCATAATATCTAACCACTTCTTAAGATATGAGATGACCTGCTTGATTTACAATTCTTCTTGAGACTTTTGTAACCAATCAAAAATCCAAAGAAAGAAATCTATTATTTTTAATCCACGTGGCTCATCATGGTGAAAACCACAGAAGTCATCCAATCAATTATCTTAACAATTTCATGACTTATATACAAGTGGAAGGTTGAAGAGGATGATGCTGATCTTATCATGATGATGGCTGACAACTCACAGAGATTCAAGTCAGCCATTAAATTTAACGAGTAAGACTGGTCCATGACTGAACAAATGCTGCAGCAAGTAAACCATCATGTCCTATCTCCTTCCATCAATTCTCAATCACTTAAAGCATACCGAAATCTACAGCGTGGAATTAATGGTACCCTACAACCCAATAGAGCAGTTATAAATTATGTAGATTGGAAAGTGTAGAGCACCCTTCCAATGAGGTAAGACACAAAGATTACATATAGGGATGCAAAGCTGAACATCAAAGGTATCCCAAAACAATAATGTGGCACACGTACCCCAAAATGGACTTAGCCCTAATTACCCATATCACAGCTTGAAACAAAGAAGGAACCCCATCAAACTCTTTGTAACAACTAAGACTTAGAATAAGTCAATCCATTGATGAAAAAAGATCCATCACTCAAGTTACTAAAGGGACGGGGGATTCAACTAATCAAGTAGGACTTCAGCAAGTTATAAGTGATAAGCAGTTTAAGTGAAATGGGTTATTCTTAGGCCCCATGAGCAAATAAAAGTTTCCCCAATATGATACAAGTTATATATTCTCTGTCTCATTCCAAGAGACAGCATGTCTTCTACTCATATTTATCCTCCCTCTACTGGTACATAATTATTTCATTCCTATTACTTCTATACATTAAATTATTAAGAATATAACAGACTGTTAGGACCATTGGATCCTACTAAGAAACTGTAGATTGGAAAGTTATAAAAGCTTATAAAGGAGCAAATAATGGTAGCACTCCACATCAAGTTCAATCACCATACTCACCTCAGGGACTTCAATCTCAACACCATCTACCTCTACACGAACTTGCCAAGGGAAATCTTCAAATATCCTGTCCATGATAATCTTAGCTCCTTCTTTAGCATAAAGGACTTTGTTCATAAACTGCAAAAAACAATTAACAGCTATCAGCCAAATAGATTATAGTCATTATCTGAATGTAGGGCTCACATAACAATGGCAACAAAATAATAAACTATCATGATTTTAAAGTTACATAAAAGTACTCCATAATCTCGATATTTTATCAGGGGATGGGAAGATTTTACAACCAAAAAAAAAAAAAAAAAAAAAAAAAAGATGAACTCTTCCATAGATAAGCATCCTAAGTCATTCTTATGAAAAGAAACCTGGTTGCAATGAGTCGATGCCAAAGTTACATTCAAGAAGAAAATACTGAAACCATATAACATGCCAAATAATATCTTGGATATTAAAGAGTCATTCTTTTCACCTAAAGAACATTGACCTAACTTATTTAAACTTGTTTATCGTTATGAACTTATTGCCCTTTATATGACCCATTTTTGTTGTGAATTGAATTTGTGTAGCCCTTACTTGGAACTTATTGGCCCATATCTGAGCTTTATTCTACACTTTTTTTTGAAGGTGAAATAATCCTAACCTTCCCTTTTCATTACTTATCAGACTTATTGGCCTTTATCTAAACTGAATTTAATTCTATGCTGTACATGGTACCCGAATCTTAACTTATTGGTTGCAGCCTAAACTTTGGCTGCCCAGCCATAGTTACTGCCAGTGATCACATCCATTCAAAAATCAACAATCAATATCTCTGACAACATAAATAGTTTCAACAATGACAGTTTCATAATATTGCAGAAGTACCTGCACCCAGATGTGAAAAGCATTGTTGCTTATTGCAACATGTAGGAAAGCACAGCATTTTAGGAGCTAGTGTGATGAGGATATTGCAACATGTAAAAAAAGCACAGTATTTTAGGAGCAAGTGTGATGAGGAGAGAGAGAGAGAGATTAAAGAGCCATGAGATGAGGGAGTAGAGAGAAACATGTGCAAATGAGTAAACATTGCATTGTATATGAAACTATCATCGAAGAAAACTACTGCAATATGAGAAAGTATAGCAAAAAGGTTGCTTACCTGGCTGTAAAACTTCTCAGGATTTTCTTCCCTCATATTATGTATATCTAAAGCAACTTTCGCATCACAACCAACCCCTGTGATGCAACAAATGCATTAATAAGCAATTATAACAATATATTGTACAGCACAACAATCACATCAACAGATAACATCATCAAAAGACGACTAGCCACAGCATATGAAGCATTACTTGTATCAGCTTCCCCATTAAACTGAACTTTTTAGGGTTCACAATGGTGAAGAGTAAGAGAAACTGTGGCGAGGAACGATGTAAAAAAATATATGTGTATAATTTAAAAATAACAAAAGAATCTTAGGTTCTTGCAATAAAAAAGGTTATAGTTTTGAAGAAATGGCACACAGAACTAGATCAGCAGCATACCACACATGCCTAGCGAATAAAATTTCTGTAAACTCAAAATTTTCAAGCTTAGGCTCTTTTCTCTTCACCTAAAAAACAAATTATTATAGGGAAAAAAAAAAAGAAAAAGTTCAACGAAGCTGCTCTATGGGTAACCCAAGTTCAATTTATAACTACCATAAGTTCAGATCAGTCAAATTCAGCTCATGGGAATACACCCTTAGTGTAAACTTGAGGCCACATTAAGAGAGATAGAAGTCTTAAATTAAATTAAAAAAGAATAAATAATTGCGAAGGTATTGTATCCCAGAACAAAGTAAATCCATAGAAACTTATTGCTTTTCCATAGCAGTGAAGTGCAAGAAGCTACACCATGACCACTTAACTGTACAAAGTAGGAGGAGGAAATATATATGAGACTCAGCTTTGACCAACCTAGATAATTGTTCATATATTTGGGGGGTTGAAGTTGTTTCCCCTGCTGATTCAAAATTGTTATCTTCCATCGGTCAAGAATGGCCACTGCAGCATGCTCTATGTCATGCAATACGCTGCAGAGACCTCCCTGCTTCTCAATTGAGCCAAGTCCACCACCCCAAGAAAGAACTCTTGCAAGATCATTTCCTGTCCCTGCTGGAAGAATTGCAACTGGGGGAGGAGAAATAAAATTCTGTTTATCTATAGCATCCAAAACCCAACCAACAGTTCCATCTCCACCACATACAAGAATTCTAAAGTGAGGCACCTTTCTGAACATGTACAAACCAACCTCAGGTCCTTGATTTGGGCCCAACTCAATAACCTGCAAGCATGCAAAAAAATCTGAATATTAAATGAGAGATCCAGATCAGCACAATAAAAAGGAGGAAATAACAAAGGTTTAAAGAGCAGAATAGTGGCATTACTCTTAATTCCTCATCTCCTCTACCCACATAGCATTGTTTAAACCCATGGAATATTGTATATTATTATTTACAAATAAAGGTAACTAACACGAAAAAAATCAGAAAGATTAGGCAGCTTATTGAAATTATGAAGAAACACCGATTGTAATTAAAATTCCACCCAACCACTCCTAATGAGGCCACTCTGATGGGAAATCAAGCTTCACCACTCGCAACACTTCCTTATGTCTTCTATGCTGCTCCCAATGTTCCACAACGAACTTTTACATTGACCTTTCAGTGTTATCACAAATTTTAACAAGTATCTATTTAAGTTATAACCATACTTTGTCACCTTAGTGATAATAATAAAAGATTATCATATATAAATACACCAATTATCTTGTAGAAAAATTGTAAAACATTACTATTTGAAAATATATAATTAAAAAAAAAAAAAAAAAAAACCAACATCATCTTACACACTAACATTTGTTTTCATACATTAGGAAAAAAAACACAGGGTTATCAAAGTGGAGTGTAGCACCATTACAGATTATCCAGGATTCCAGGCATAAGTAAAAATCTTACACACAACAAACCTCTGGAATAGGAGAGAAAGGGCTATGCAAACCACTTTATTTTAGAAGAAAATGACAATCATTCGGGAAAGAAAATAAAATAGATTTGAAACACGATGTAGCGACTAACCTGAACTGGATTCAGTAGCATATTCAAGCGCACACGAAGCGAGTCTCCTTGCTGAGCCCCACTCTTCTTATTGAGGAACACCAAGAGAGGTCTTGAATCAGCTGGCAGATCAAGAATGACATATCTCTGTTTTTGAACAACCTGGTCATCTTTCTGGGTTATTGATGTACTTCTCTTAAAATCAGGCTTTAGATCTGTATGTTTATCTAGATCTCCATTACAATTCTGATCTCCTGTGCTGCCACTACCATTACAATTGTCCTCCATAGTATGTGATCCATTTACTGTTACACTAGTACCTGAAGTATTATCCGTTGATGTATCACATGCACTGCTTCCACCTCCCAAATCAACAAAGGAACCATTTTTATATTTATGCTTTTTGCTTTGACTTCTAATGCGTCCGCGTACAGTGGAAGCAATTTCATTTGCACCTTGAGTAATTGAGCTCAAAATTCCACCAGAAGATTGCTGGCTTAATTCCCTGACAAAGAGTGGAGATAAAATCAACCTTCTCAAAGGACCGAGATCACAAACATCACCAAATTCATTAGACATGCTGGTGTGGCAGTCAACATGCACTAGCCTTTGGCACCATAGGCAACACCATATAGGAGATCCACTCAGAAAAGAAGCACTACATGGTTCTTCACAATAACTACAGAAAGAAGTTTCATCAGTTTGATCTGTAATCTCTATCCAGCGAACAGCCCATTGGTGAACAACATGCTCATATCCTAGCATTGATACACGCTTGCAATCCTTGTGTGCGTTTGAGGAACAGCCTAGGTGAGAAGCTGCTCCGCAAATGCTACATCGGTTATAAAAACTGTCTGAAGCCACCATTGGTCCAAGAGTTTGTGAAGGAGTAAAGGATTTTAAGCAGACACAACAACTCCCATTCTTTGCACGTGTTACAGGTTCCAAATTCCATGAATGTGGAGCTTCAGGCGCTTTGTTCCTTGTCTTCGGATTTTTTTTGGATCTTGCTATAGCTTTCATCCAAGTCAAATTGATGTTTCTTCTCCATTGAAAAGCAGTGAATGCTATAGTCAAGATTCCAACCAGGCCAGCAAGAAAGCAAGAAAGGATAAAAAAGTGTGAATCAGACACTTCACTTGCATTCTTGCCAACCAACCATTCAGACAAATCATCCATTCTTCTTCAACAAAAAATCTTTTGCAACATAGAAAGGCCAACGAATACAAAACTAACTTCTACAAAGAGCGAAGAGGTTCAGCTCCAACTCTCAATTACATTTCATCAATCACCTTGATAACTTACTACTGAATTTCCAAACTAAAACCAAGGGAACAACCAACATCACATATTCAGTCACCACTCAGCCCACATCAAACCATAACAAAGTAACACTAATCTGAAAATCTCCGTCCCATCAGATATTCGCAAAGGATAGTCTCTCTATGTTGTTGCTTTTTGACTTTCCTAGAGTTCCAACAATCTCTTACTTCCACGCAACCAAAAAAACTGGTAGTACTTAAACACCCACCGGATCTGAATTACCCCCAAAGCAAAGGTTCGATTGAAACAGAAAATCCTGCAATACAAATAATTAACTTATCACCAATTGCTTATAAATGTATAGTGTGTACGAGTGGCATCCAAAACAACATTAAGTAATCAGCTCAATGAAACCAATTATGATTCCTAGAAATGGAGAACAAAGAGAAACACAAGAACTCAAAAACACGGTAATTTGATTTCTTCATAAACACACAATGCCGATTCTGGCAAATTCGGCAATACAAGTCATAACCCTAATGCTCATATGAAATTTAAAGAGCATAATATAGTCTAGTAATCCGACAGCCTCCTCGGCTACTACTACTGTAATGGAACATATTGAAGTATTGAACCAATAATGTAGCATCAAAAGTTCAAAATGCTAGTCACAATACACCAACTTCATCGCAATCACTACAATCAGTAAGTAACACAAACATAACTCCCAAGTCCAATTTCTGCTCTAAAAATAAAAACTCTAAACCAGCTTTGATCAATAAAACTCAAATTAATCTTCGCCCTACCATATTATATAACAAAAATCAAACAAATGCTACCAAATTAACAGCAAAATTTCATGAAAACTAGTAATAATTAACACATGAACCAGAAAATATTAACAAAATAAACCTTCGATCACTCAAACAAACGGCAAAATTATAACCAAAAAGGAAAATGATTCTAATTAATATATAATGATACAAAATCATAAACAAGAAGAAAAACTAACCACAAATTGGGAGCAATCAGAAACCCTAAATGAATGCCGAAGATCACAAAATCGAAAATTGGAGGAAAACTTTAAGAAAATGGAATCAAATTAAAGCAAAGCAGTATGCACTTAAGCACGAAAGGAGGGGTAAATATAGATCAAATAAACCTAGTAAAAAAATAATCAAAGGAGGTTTATTTTATTCAGCGAATTTCAAAGCTTTTTCTTTTTCGTATTTTTCGAATTATTCGGTTTTTTAATTTGAAAATTTTGGATTTTACGATTAGTTAAGTTATTTGTTTGAGCAAAAGAGGAGAGAGAGAATCTGAGAGTTTGTCTGGAAAATTGGTGAGGTGGGGTTGGGTTAACAGATACGAATCTCGATTAATTCGAGACACGTGGCTGTCGGCAAATGTGGCTTTTTCGAGAAGGGGTCCTACATTTCGAGAGTGAGATGCTAAATTCCAATTTGTTTGACACGTTAAAATTTGCTGATCAGGTGTGTTACAAATCTTTCAATACAAAAATATAAAAGCAAAAACTAATAGTAGCTTTGGATAAGATAGCTAAGAGTAAAAAACTAAATCAACATAAACATTAGTTATATTGATCGATGTGTGATTTTGGCATGCATTCTTAAATTAATACCACTTTAAGAAATATTTTGATATTTTCAATGTTTATCTACCACCCCGAGGGTATTCGTTAACAAGATCCAATTATAAATGATAATTCGAATTGCTGGTTCGGTTTTGGATTGAGTTTAACAATATTTGATTTAAACTTATTTAGGTTATAAAAGAAGTTACTCTGTATATTGTGATTAGGCAAGTCATATTCAATTTTGTGTAAAATTGGTAGGGAAGTAAGTTAAGTAAGGTTATTGTGAGTTCAAGTTCATATTAGATTGGGTCATAATCAAGTAATTGATAGAAACGGGATTAATTGGCTGGCTAGTCAAGTATCGATTCATTTTTGTTTATTTTTAATCTGGTTATGTCCAATCGAATCATATTTGATTTCAATTGACATGTGTTGATTGACATGCGTTAATGCATTAGGATATAAACAAGTTCAATCTAAAGTCAAGTTTTAAACATATCAAATCAACTTGTTCATTATCGAATTTGATTCCATTTTGCTTTATTTATCTTATTTTACAACGAAGTAATTTAAGATGAACTTCCCAAGTTTATTGGTTCTTATTAAGCAATATTAAAGATCACATCGCCATTATTACATTGTTGAATATATTTGACTAAACATAGTAGTGTGTTATTTAGTGACATAAAATTGGAAATTTTACCTATCCCAACTATCCCCTCTTGAGACCAGAGCTTTCACCACCATTTCTCTATCACCGTGGCTTTTCCCCTCGCATCAAGTCTCTTCCCTCTACCTCATTTATCTCAAATCCTCTCAAAATAAGACCCACAAAAGAAACAAAAGTAATGTAAGTCCTCCACCTTTTGTATCATCAATGGCAAAACCGACGCACAACCACGCTTAACTGTTTCCGCAAGGCAGAATTTAGCCAAACCCTTAAAAAAAAACTCAATAGCACCTCCTAGTTCCTTTGCATTCAAGCGTCCGATATTCATGACACCAACAAGAAAGCTTGTTTTAATTTAATTGTTCTAAGATCCCACAAATTATTGCAACTATAAGGTTGTCGTTGCATCAGATACCAATTTTGAAGCCCCAAGATTCCTATGCAACACCAACGTTAAGTGAGAACCAACTATATCCATGCTTAATTGTAACTCACGGGACTTGCACGGAGAGAACAATTATCTGATTTATTCATTTTCAAACCAGGCAACTAACTCCTTTTTTCCTTGAATGTAAAATCAAATGATGAACACTTAAAAAGCATGCAGGAAATTGGTAAACATTAATTCTACGTACTTCCAACTCTAATCAAGCTGAGTATCAAGACTCAGAGAATTTGATACACTCATATTATCAGGTACATAAGAGGATTGCAAACACGTCATTGTTAGTAGTGACGATGGTGTGTGTCACAGAAGTAGCATGAACAAATCACCTACTACTGACCCGCTGTAACTATCACCAAGATGAGCAAAGTAATACGGAATAGACTTGCAAATATGTCATTGTTAGTAATGAAGATGGGTGTCACAGAAGTATCATGAACACAAGACACAGACAAAATTTAAGTTGATATATTTCATAAAATTAACCCTGTGTCTTTCGACCTTTATAGCAAAATTGACTCAGACAACTAGCACAGCATCACAAAACTAACAAATTAAACATAGGCAATCAAAGGTAGAAATCTGATTTACGTCCCTCTACACCTAATTTCCATTTGACTGGAAAGTAATAAAAAGATTCTGAAGTGATTGATGCATGCGTAGGATCACAGACCAGCTTTCCTACACCTCGACACCAATTCTACCAGCCACTTGATCAAGATCACGCTGGCCGCTTGATGTGATTTTCCTTCCTCTGCAAGATACACACATAATTATCAGTACACTCTCCACTAGCTTTTTAGCAAATTACTACTTGCAAGCAACATATACTACATCTTAACATCCTTATTGGATGTCAAAACACAATTTAAAGCAGCGTCAAGCTGAAAATGCATAACTTCTACTGTTAATGTCATATCAAGAAAAATAACTCCAGTTCAGGATTTCAACTAGAAACAGCTTATATTGTGCCTCAGTTTGTAACTAATTATGTCATGGTGCTCATAGCTATCAACTGTACATAAAATAGCTATAAGCAAAGATAACTTACCCTTTGGGGTCAATTTCAACAATGTTCACTTGCTCCAATTGCTGCAAAATGTGACGGGCAACAGATCCACTGCTCTTGCAGAAATGGGGAGGGCGGCTACCATTTCTCTTGCTTCCTCCATAAATCCTCCTAAAGCCACCAACTCCAAGTCCACCCCTCAAGTAAATCTTCCTTGCCATTGAGGCTGCCAAAATAAGATGATTTTCATTAACTTAAAGGTAATAAATATAAATTATATAAGCATCATAAGCACAATTAGACAGTGCAAGCAATGTGTTCACAATTTTTAAATGATGGAAAAATTAGCATGCACATGTATTTTATTTATTACACTATCCTGCTATGAAAACACTATACATTCAGCTACAAAAATCCATAAAACTACCATCCAGTATAAAATGTAACTGAATGATCGAAGAGAATGACAAAGCAACAGCAGTGTGCAAGCAAAATTTTCACTCAAGAAAGTATCTAAAGCTGTCAATCACAACACCGCATCAAGCAACATACTACTTCACAACACCAACTCTCAAAATGCACCTGATTTTCGTTACTTAGCAAGATTATTCTCTTGAAAGTATGAGCATCTCTTTAGATTAATACTAATAAGAATATGAACTCCTAAATGCTCTACAGATTTTCGCAAAAGTCTGAGAACAAAGTAGAATGCAGCTCCTCTTGCTATTCCAATGAAGATATTCCACCACAAATATGCATTCATTATTTTAATGATTTATTTTTATTAGCAAGAATATAGCAGAATACTTGACCTCATGTACAGATTGGAGTTCAAAGGAAAAAGGCAAAAAACAATGATCAACAAATGCGCTTACCAGCTCTGATGTAATACCAGTCAGGGTCATATGGTGCGAGTTCCTTGAGCTTTCCGGTCTTGACAATGTCAGTCCAGTGAGGCAACTCCATCTACACAGCACAAATCAGAAACATAAGCACCATAACAAAATCTAGCTTCATCAAACATATTCCGACTCATAAGCAATACTCTCATATTAACAAGATAAATGCAGCCACAAAAAATACAACCCTTGCCTCGATTGAAATATCTCTACCTTTATTTATTTAATTTTATGTATAATTTATTCAATTTTAGAGGACAATTTATTCAATTTTTGGGCATAATTTACACATTTATATTACCCAGCTCTTCATTTACAGAACAATACTCGTTTCCAATCCAATGTAGCTCGGATTAAACAAAATAAACTCAATCTATAGCAACTAATACCTTAAAAGCAGAAATCTAAATCAAAATTTATAATTGTCAAATTTGTTCTTTCATATACTCTACCACATAAATCAAACGAGAAAATTTCAACACGAAAGCACAATAACAGCTCTTAAACATATACCATTAAACCCTAAAAATCAATAAACCCTAAAACAATAATCAAATAGGGGGAAATATCAAGCTCAAATCTACAACTAATATTCAAAAAAAAAAAAAACAGATTAAATCTGAATCACTTAATCATAAACAATGACGAACAAAACATGAATCTAATATCATAAAATAGAATCAAATTACACAATCCGAAATCGAAGAAGAAAAGAGAAAGAGGGAAACCTTTCCAGAGCGCTTAAGATGAGCAGCATAAGCTTTGACGAAATCATGAGGAGAAACATCCTTCACAGTTTTCCCAGCCTCCATTGTTGTTGTTGTTCTTCTTCTTCACTCTCTCTCTTACTCTTTCTCTCTCCTCACCCAGGAAAACGAGCGGCTGCTGCAGACGAAATGAGTGAAGCGAGTTTTGTTGGCAAAAGAGAGGAATTTAGGGTTTTGGTTTTGGTTTTAAGACTTGTTTATATGGTCTTACCCGTATTCACTCATTCATTCGGGTCTTTTTTATGGTCCACTCCATATGGGTTGGGTCCATAAATTATTTGTGTGAACCCAGCAAATTAGTTGTTCAGTTTTCAGGCCCCTTTCAATTGTTATTGCTAAGGATCGAACATACAACTTTTCCTACCACCACTGCAACATTCAATTGTCGATATTATTTGACTTGTGTCATGCTCGTGACCATTAGCTAAATTGATTACAATTCTTTTTTATAAATTTCTATCAATAATGGTGCAAATTCATCTTACTATGCTATGAGTACATATTTATACAACAAAATAATAAAAAACAAATATCACTATTGTAGTTAGAAACAAATACCAGACATATGCAATATAATAATAATATATATAGAACAAACATATGATGAACTATGCATTTACCTACTATTTAGTTATCTACACATGCAGATGAATTTACATAAAACTCAAATATGCAAAACATTATATATTGAAATTTTAAAATATGTATTTTTTTTGTTGCACTTTAATTCCAGGAGCTTATTTTGACCATCATGAGTTATGACTATGTTGACATCAAAATAGACATATAATTCAAATTCTCTATTCGCAAGCTTGTTACTTTTTGCATACGCATATTGGTTCCATTATATACATGTATCACTAAAATTGTTCAATATATACTTTGAATGTTATTTATCAATGATAAATGAATATATTTTTCAAATGAGCTCATTTTGATCA